TCATCTGGAGATCAGTTGTAATTCCAGGATATCTTCAGCTCTCACCTGGAGGTTGGCAACATTAGTTCCATATGAAGCTCACACCACACAACTGGGCCACAGTTTTCCTAGGTAGAGGCTGCTTGGGAGGGGGGAACCTGAAGACAAAGGGTCAGATAAATGTAAAGGGAGAAGGTAAAGGTAAGGAGAGAAGAAAGCAGGAAGAGGTAAGAGGCTATGGGTGCTTTCAGGAAAGGGAAAGAAGAAATAGTGGGGAGAGGAAAGTAAGATGTCCACCACAAGTCTTTGTGGGTCACCTGCTTGTATTCCAGATTAAGGATGCAATCCTGGGCACGCTTGTGTAGGAATAAGACCACTGAACTTGGTAGGACTTACTTGAAAGTCTAAAATGGTTGGGGGGGGGAGGGTCTGACCTCCTGTCCTCCCTAAAGGACACCATTATTTGTTAGTCTTGCTTCCATTTTCTTAGGCCTCTTGCTGACTTGTGTACCCTTCTGTGAGTTTCTAGATGTTGCTAGCCAAATACCAGAATCAACTGAGCTTTGGCTTTCATCAGCTTTCATAAAAATTTTGAGGCCTCACCCTAAGATAGCGTGGGAGAAAGCTGGAGAAAGAGTGCTTTGGAGAAGGGAGAAAGAGAAGAATCTCTGCAGCTAGTTTCTTCTGAACGGGCATTAGAGAACGGTTTGGGGAGCCATACAACAGAAACCTTTGTCAGATTTAAGATGTAGCTGTATCCGTGAGAACATAATTTCAAAGCTCAGAGCTGTTTGCAGTCCCCAGGCAAATCAGTTTTCCTGTCTCTTTCTTTTAATGCCACCCTTTGGATTGAAATCTTCCATAGCAATAATTGTGGCATATTCTCAGCAGGAGAAATTGGTCTTTTAATGTGTTCAGTAAAAGCAGCTATAAAAAGGCAAGATGTCAAGTTTAAAAGAACAGTCTCTGAAGACAAAGATACTTAATGCTGTGTACCTTTCTTGCACTGTCTGTATGTAAATTTATTTCTGGATGCTCATAAGAACATAAGAAGAGCCCTGCCGGATCAGACCAATAGTCTATCTAGTCCAGCATCCTGTCTCACACAGTGGCCAACCAGTTCCTCTGGACAACCAGCAACAGGGCATAGAGGCCAAGGCCTTCCCCTGATGTTGCCTCCTGGCTCTGGGATCCAGAGGCTTAGTGTCTCTGAATGTGGGAGTTTCCCTCCTTTAAAGCCCCTGGAAAGGTCCCTTAGCTCAGAGATAGGTTGATAATATCTGCCTGGGTGGTCTGTATTGTCTTCACCACCAGCTTTCACTAGCCATGACAAACACAGATCAAGGGGTCAAGTAGTGGGTTTCACAGCAACCAGAATCCTGTCAACCTCCTTCTGGGAGAGTTGACCGAAGTGGTCCATTACAGGGCCTAAAGATGGCCAAGGGGCCTACAGTTCATATATTATGTCAACTAGCAGTAAAGCCCGTTGTGGAAATAAATACAACGAGATCTAGAAAGAGGCTCTGGGGGAGTACTCTGGCTTTGGGCAAACAGTGTCATTTTGCTGTGGTGACCTCAGCAGGGTATAATGACAGAGTCCACTGTTTTCTCCAGAGGAACTGATCTCTGGTCCCTGAAGAGCAGTTGTAATTTTGAGTGATCTGTAGCCCTCACCTGGAAATTGGCAACAATTGTTACCCAGGACGAAATGGCTGGTTTGGAGGGTGGAGTCTATGGCATTCTACCTGTCTGATGTCCCACCCCTCCACAAACCCCACCCTCTCCAGGCTCCACCCCTCAAATCCCCAGGAATTTGCCAGCCTGGAGTTGGCAACCCCATCTCCTTCGCAGCTAACCATCAACCTACCATTATCTGCCCCTTTGACTTCAGCTGACTTCCGCCCTCCCTTCTGCAGAGCAATTGTAATTTTGAGTGGTCTCCAGCCCTCACCTGGAGATTGGCAACAATGGTTCCCCATGAGGGACTGAGTGGTTTGGAGGGTGGAGTCTATGGCATTGTACCTGTCTGAGGTCCCACCCCTCCTCAAACCTCACCCTCTTCAGGCTCCATCCCTCAAATCTCCAGGAATTTCCCATCGGGAGTTGGCAACCCTATCAGGATTGGCCCCAATATGTTTTCTCCCAAAGGGCAAAGTAGGTGACTGGACCAAACTTAGTTGCCTACCAACAGGCACTGAGGGGAAAGTAGGGTTGCCAGCTATAAGGAGGGAAATACCTGGAGTGTTGGGGGGTAGATTCTGTAGAGGGCAGCATTGGGGGATCATTCTCCTCTCCCCTATTATGCAACTGAAAATTCCAACTGCCTTGCGGGGGGGGGGGGGGAATTTGAGGTGTGGAATGGAGTGACGTCCAATCAGCTTCCATATGCAAATGACCTTGGAACGCTGGGCGGGACTGCACAAAGCAGCCAGTCAACCCAGCCAGTGTGTTCTGAGTGGCAGTTTTTCCGGCCTAACACTAAAGGAGTGCATTTTAGAACTTTGGCACCCACTACTCTTTTATTATAAGGGAGAGATGATCAACGTGGCCAAATCTGTGGATACTTAAATCCAGATATTGGAGCCATAAACGACAAGCTAGATCTTTCTATCAACTTGAGAAAAGCCCCAGATTTGCTGAAGAATCTGAAATCTAATACACACACATTGCACACACTGTGCATCCTGGCTTGAGTTTTCTGGGATAGAGGCTGCTAAAGGGAGGGAAGCTGAAAACAGGAGCAGATGGGTTGGCTGGAAGATGGGAAGAAGATAAGGAAGCAGGAAAGGAGGAGAAGCTATGGGGGATTTCGGGGAAGGGGTGGAGGAAATTATGGGGGAGGGGAAAATGAGATGCCCCTCTCAAGTCCTTGCGGGTCCCTCACTTGTAAAGAATGTATATTTTTGTAAGTATACAAATAACATCTATGAAAAAAGAATGTTGTGAAGGAATATTTAAAATACGGGATTTATATGTGAATTTTGTTTGCAAGAGTTCCGTGCTAATGCTAAAAACCATGTTTTGTGTTTTGTACATGCAAATGTTTGTTTATGGAATATCTGCATTTTATAATCACATATCTGGCCAATATAGAAGAACTGCTACAATTTTCACTTAGCCAGTTGGGTTAATTCATGTAAAATTTAATAACAAAAGGCATAATTATTATTATTTGATAAAGTGAGCTGTGAATAGGGATTAAACTTTGTAATCTATGACAAATTTAACATGGCAGAGTTTTTCTGTGACGCTTCCTTTGTTTTGTTTTTTTTTAAGTAACAGACTGAACTATCAAAAAGTAACTATAAGCTCACTGCCATACGATGTGATGATCACCAACTTGGAAGGCCTTAAAAGGGGAGTGGACAAATTCATGGAGGACAGTGCTATCAATGGCTGCTAGTCATGACAGATACCTATTCTCTCCAGTACCAGAGGCAGTATTCCTCTTTCTTATATCAGTTGCTGTGGAACACAGGCTGGAGGGTGTTGTGGCAGTCAGCCTGCTTTATGGGCTTCCTTGAGGCAGCTGGTCAGCTGCTGTGTGAACAGAGTGCTGGATCTGATGTTCCTTTGGTCTGTTCCAGCATAGCTGTTCTTACATTCAGCACAACGTACATAGTAGAAACATTAACAAATTTTAACATAATGAATTTATTTGTTTAAAGGAAGATGACCCTGAATGTAAGATGATCCCCCTAAAAAGAGAAGATTATACATAAAAGCAGGTGACCAGTTTAAAATGATCCCTCCTCAAAAGCAGCGGGTACAAAGTTTTTTTTAATTACATAGTAGTCAGTATACTGCTGCGGTGGCTCAAGTGGTTAAGACGCTGAACTGCAGGCTGTGGAAGGTCGGTAGTTCAGCAGTTTGAGACCCGGGTGCCGCAAGATGGAGTGAGCTCCCGTCTCTGCTTCCAGCTCCTGCCAACCTAGCAGTTCGAAAGCAAGAAATTGCAAGTAGATAAATAGGTACCACTTTGGTGGGAAGGTAACAGCATTCCGTGCGCCTTGGTTTTTAGTCATGCCGGCCACATGACTATGGAAACGTCTTTGGACAGCGCTGGCTCTTCGGCTTTGAAACGGAGATAAGCACCACAACCCTAGAGTCTGATTCGACTGGCTTTCGAGCAAGGGAACCTTTACCTTTAATCAATATACAATAAATAAACTATGGAAGAAAATTACTTTCACTTCTTGCTTCTCTGGGCATTGTAACCATTCACAAGTAGTATGTGATCATGCTGTTTCAAATTCATAAAGGCAAGAGATTGGCTTTTTAACTCTCTCTCCCCCCCCAGTCATACTACTAAACAGAGGCTTAGATAAACTGATCAGTGGGCAGTGCAGTTCTAAACAAAACTACAGCCTTCTAAATCCATTGAAATCAGTGGGTTTGGAACAGTGTAACTATCCTTAGGAAAGGACTGTTAACCACCAGCAAATTCAAAGCATCTTGAAAGGCGGTATTTGCAGATGCAGTGTTGCTTTCACTGCTTCTCTGGTAAATGAGTTGGCACACTTTCTCCAAAGCTCTCCCTGCATGCGCAGTGTAGAAGACAACCCCCCCCCCCTTTTAGAAAGGCAAAAGAAGTACAAAATGTCATCTTACTTTTGAGTAGATATGGTATTTAGCTGTAAAATCCATGCTGGAAACATTTTGCTACAGAGCAAGTGTAGCAAAACAAGTTTTTGATATAGAATGGTATATTTATTGAATGCTGAATGCCAGATGTGATAATATATTGCAAGAAAGCCAACATCTAATTTAAAGACTCAGTTACAAGTCAGTTTCAGAAGATAGCTGTGGTGGTCTGTAGTAGAGTAGCTAGCGAGTTACAATTGACTTGCATGCTAAGAGAAAAGGAATTAATTAAAAAGGCAAGTTAGCTTGATCTGTAGCAACAAATTAGTAAAAGTGACCTTGTTTTTCTATCATGTTTCCCAATGTCTGCTTTTAATTGGATTATTTTGATGCAGTAAATTGAACAACAGTACAACAGGATTTGTTTTTATTTGCAGAGCACCAGAAATCATATTAGGTTTGCCGTTTTGTGAAGCCATAGATATGTGGTCACTGGGCTGTGTGATTGCGGAACTATTCCTTGGATGGCCACTATATCCAGGAGCTCTTGAATATGACCAGGTAATAGAAGATTAGTGATGGTATTTTGAAAGGAGACTTTATTTTACATATTTAAATTTGCAAATTGATTACTTGAGGACTGACTAATTAAGTTTTGAATGTATAAATTGACTATACTGTCTACTGAGCATAATGTGTATCATTAGATCCAGGCTTCTGTAAACTTGCTCCATTCAGAGATGTGATTTTTACCACCTTCCTTTTTGTCCTGTAGTCTTGTATTTGTCAGTGTATTGCCAATTGGCCCCAGAGTCAGACAGAACCAGAGGTTGCCCATTGCAGGATTCTGTAGTCTGCTGGTCTCCATGTAGGGGCCCTTTTTGTGAATGGGTGCTAACAAATGCCACCTTTCGCTGTGTGTTAACAATATGCAGATAGTATATTACTGAGCGTACTTTAATTTTTTTGCATAGTAGTATCTTTCCACACAAGTAGGCTATCAAGATTTCATATCAATGACCTCAGCCAAAAGTCAAATGAATATATAGGCTGAATTCCATATTGAACTTTCTGAAACTTTCTGAAACTAGCATTATATATACACAAATGAATAATGTCATAGTTAGAAAATTAATTTTGACAGACAAGTTGATCAGTAGCATTTATTCTGCTGACCTTGATGGTTTCTACAAATCAATTACACAAAAGGTCTTTAGGAACATAAGCATAAACATATAAGCTAGGTCTGTTTGGGTGCAAGTGCATTGAGTATATTGCCTGAATTCTCTACTGCTAATATCACTTCTAAATATCCGTTCATAAGACCATCCTTCCAGAAGGTCATCGTTTACAGAGTCAAACCCTTGAGCTATTTTGATATCATGCCATTTACATTAAGTACCAAAGATTACTGGCTGATTCTGTAAAAATGATACACATATAATGTGGTAGTGCAAAGCTATGTTTCTTTAATCCCTCCAGATTCGTTACATTTCGCAAACGCAAGGTTTGCCTACAGAGCAATTGTTGAATATTGGGACGAAGACCACACGATTTTTCTGTAAAGAAACAGATGCACCATATTCTGGTTGGAGATTAAAGGTAACGAGATTCCTCAAATTCCTGTGCTCTATATTCCGTGGGCCTTAAGGAAGAAATAGAGCTGTGCTGAACAGGGCGGGTTTCCCCCCCACACTTTCTGAATGTTTTCAATCCCTTTGAAATGTTCCCATCTTCTCAGTAATCTTTTTTGGAGTGTTGATTACTTTCGTACAAGGGGAGGTGCTGAGGAGAGAATGTCCGCTCCCATCTACTTTAAGGCACCCCGTGCTCTACTCCTGTGGTTAGTGCTCAGAGGACAGGAGTTCTTTTCAAGACCCAGTAAGCTACATCTGGTGCCATTTTTAAATTTGGAATGCCACATAATTATGTGATGATGATGATGATGATGCTAAGGGCAAGATAAATTGCATCAGAGTTGGAGCTTTACTCAGAAGCCCCTTTTTGTGCAAAATAAGTTCACTTGAGAAATATTTGTATCAACTTTAGGAACCTGAGGGAGATGAACAGAGCTTGTCTGCCAAGGGAAATGTTATTGATGCTGTCGTTTTGATATTACGACTGTTGCTCAATAATCTGTAGTAGTTCTAATGTATCAGAATGTGGAGCACTTCCAACTATGGCTTGGTCTCAACACAGGCTTCAGCTTGCTAGGCAGCCATGGAAGATTCTAGTTGACCTAGTTCTTTATCGCTGCCTCCAGTTCCTATTGTGGCTCAGGGTCACTTGGTACTTACCTAGTCAGAATTGCTCAGGTTGCTGACATAGCACATGAGGTCTTCAGGTGGCCTTTTGGGCAACCTGACAGGTGCTGAGGATGGCAAGGACAGATGGAAAGATAGGAAAGGAGGGACAGGAGGAGGATGGAGTAAAAACAAGAAAGGGGTGAGGAAGAGGCC